ATGTGAATGTAAATATCAGACTGATGATCAGACTATTAGACATTTAACCTGAACTGAACCTTCTGAAAACCAGAACTTGTGTCACATTCTTGTGGGTTCATCGCCTCAGTGACATAAACTTGATTGTCCAGAGAGAGAAGATTTGATAAACTCTTCATCTGATTGATGAGACTTTTTAAATAAATGTTTCTTGTTGTATTAAATCTTCTTGAGGATTCTCACTTTGAGGGATTCACTGTTCAGTTCAGGTTAACGCTCTGAACCCCAGAAGGTGTCGGAAAGTTGGAAATAAGATTTTATTTTTTTAAAAAAAGAAAAAAAAAATCTCTTTATTTTTTTAAAGTATTTTTTTCACAGCACCAATACGGTAACTAACAGATGAGAATCACCTACTTTTAAACACAGAGTTAATTTCCTTTTGTTCTCACATCTTGAACGTCTTCATGTCTGTTTTCACTCCTTAGATGGAGGAAGAACGTGTTGATATCAACCATCAGCTGCAACAGGAGACAGAGAAAAGGAAGATTGCTGAGAATGAAGTGAAGACCTTGAAGAATGATCTGGAGCAGGTGAAGCTCATCATCAGAATCTGAACCAAACAACTGCACATATACATTTAGAGGTTTTACAGCAGAGCTTCCAGCACATCGTATCATGTCTTCGTTCATTTCAGGGTTTTGTGTGCACTCAGTAAATCAAAGCTTCTCTCATGTGGTTCCTCTCTTTGCTTTTCTCTTTCAGTGTCAGAAGAAGTTAGAGGAGAAGACAAATGAGTAGAAAACTAAGAACCAGATGAAGAAGCTGCAGAACGAGATCCTTTGTTTTTGAATCTCAAGCAGTTTTCTCGCCATTTCCGGCCATGAGATCAAATCAGACACATTGAAGAACTCTGTGGTGTCTCTGTGACTTCGCTATAAGATTTCTTCCTGCTTTTAAAATGTTTGTTTGAACACATCTCACTGACAGACCAGCATGTATAACTCATACACCCTGATGAAATGAGAATGTGTGCTGGGTCCGCTCCTCTACACGCTCTTCACCTATGACTGTGTGGCCTCCCAGAACAACACCAGCATCATCAAATTTGTGGACGACACCACAGTCATTGGCCTGATCACTGGTGGGGTTGAAACATCACACAGAAGAGAGGTGG